TATTTAATATCAATTCTTTTGCTTATTGCTCTCTGGTAAATGTATTTATCACGGGTTATGTAACCCCTTTCTTTTGGGTGTTACATGGTACGCTGTTATAATTTCTTCGCATCGGTAGGCTATATATATATTCGAGTTGTGGTCATTTATATTCAATTGCGTCTCAACACCGTCCCTACGCCCTCTATATTAAGTACCCAGTGACTAGGGGTTATCAATTTCTCTTAGACGTAGTTTTTGCATGCTGCTATATGAAAGGTTTAGCACGCTTACGGAATCATTGTTATACGAACGTAGTTTAGATTGTTTTGTGGGGTGGTTTTCTCTTCTGCATTTTTAACATTTGTTGTATTATTCCTCTCCATTTTGTTGATGAAGGCATAATAAAGAAAGTCGCACAAGACTTGTGTTGACACACCCTAATTGAGGTTGCTTATTGCATGATAAACGTTTTCAGTATATTCGTTTGAGCGGGGTACAAAAATAAAGATTTAGTTTTGACACAACTTCGTTCTCAGGGCTTTTTTCCCAGCTCCACCTCAACTAAGGGAAAAGGCCCTGGGAACGAGGTTGGTTTTGACAGCTTCTACTATGATCATCATCTCGGCGATAAAAAAGTTAAGCTACTTTTTTTTCTCTCAAGTGAATAGATACATTAGGTCCAGGTAACGATTATCACTATTATTGTTACCCCTGTTGCTTTTATAATTGCAATTAATATTATTTTTTATCCATTCTGAAATCATTGGTGATCCTTACAATCTGATCGGCTCTTATTGGTGCGATGCATTCACAAATCACACTATTCAGTTCACATTTTTCGCTTACTTTTCCCAGGCAATGAGAAAGCTTTACTAAAACACAACAACCAATCAGATTTCAAGGCTACTTTAAAGTAACCAATCAAATTGCAGGAAAATGAAAAACAATTTTTACAAAGCAGCTCAGTACAGGATCAATTAAAATATTTGGATTGACTAAAATATCCTGTGTTTGAGCGACCCAATTTTAAACTTGGTGTCGCGCAATTTTGGTCTGAAATCAAATCAAACTCTCTCTGTGCACACTTGATTTTGAAATCAAGCATATGATCTCAGACCAAAATGCACTCCTCTCAGCTCAATTGCCATTACTCATTATAGCCATCATTATTGTATAAGCCTCCGGGACCAAAAAAGTACTTACAAATTACGTCTCTAAATATGCATGTAGTTTATTCATTATTGTTACTGCTGTAACCATCACGATCATCGGGACCGAAAAAGTACTTACAAATTACGTCTCTATATATGCATGTAGTTTATTCATTATTGTTACTGCTGTTAATTATTATTACTATTAATTATTATGCATGTAGTTTATTCATTATTATTACTGCTGTTACCATCACGATATCATCATGACTACCTTGTCTACCATAAAGCGAACTTTTTTTTCTACCCAATAGTCACCCAAACAAAACAGAAACGAAGCAAATTGTTTTTTTTTTTTTTGCCACATAGAACTTACTCCAACGCTTTCAAACTTAACGCCAGCTTTTAATTCAAACTTTCTAACAATGATTTTGAAGGTCGTTATTTCCATACAAACCAACACCCTATTCACACCAATTAAACTTATTTTAAAGCTGTTTTAAACACGGTGATAAAAATATTTTTCGTCATAGAAACTGCTTAAACCGATGCTTGTCGACTTCAAGTATACAAGTCAGTGACTTCCCTAAACCAACGGTTCTCTGTTTCTGATTAACTAAACATGTTTTGGTTATGACAATGGGTTCAACGAAGACATGACAAGAAACTCACCTTTTGAGACAACTGAGTTGTGCAAAATTTTATAGATCGTTGAGAACCAGGAATCAATGGAAATTTGCTGCTTAAACTCATCAGATTCTCTTGCATAATATACTCTGGTTTGAATTCCAGCACACTAGAGCCGCCCTCGCGCGCAACGGAAAACATGTACTCTAAAGCATCCATCTTGAAAGGAATTCTAAAATCTGGTTTCTCCTTTTCTTAAAATCTTCACCAAAACAGTATTCTCAATCGAAATTACACACTCGGTGATGGAATATCCATGGAAAGTCTATTCAGACTAAACTTCTTGAAAATACTGTACGTCATAATGCGAAAATTAATGACGAAAGGAGAGATCTGCGCGCGGAAACATGGGGCGTTCGAAAAAGTTTCAACTTCAAGTTCGATTTAAATCTAAAATTTACAGTTCTAAGAGGCATGTCTGTTTGTAATAAAAAATTGAAGTCCGAAATTCCAGCCCTCTTTTGATCATATCAAAATTTGACTGCCCAAGGGGTCACAGTTTTGCAAAGATAATCACATTATATGTGGCCGCTAAAATGTACTCTACCACAATTTACCATGAATAACAAAAAGACAGGTTACTGCAAAAACACGGAAACATACAATGGACACAAGTGGTCCAAATTTTATTTTTTATTTTAAAATTGGGAATTTCTCTCTTGAGTCGATAATGTTTTTTTTACCCAGGCTCGAAATCTTTTTCTCTCGAATCCGGAATTTCGCTTTCTGCTTGAGGGTCATATTTGAAGTAGCGAACAAAGTATACGATCTCATTAAACGGCTGCAATTCTACTTGACCAGAGAAACTAATTCTTCTTAAACCTACGGTGCAGCAAAATATAAATAAGAGAAAAAAAAAACAAAGGGCTCCACACATTTTATTCCAATTTTTTCCTCGAAATAAATAGAAAATATCCGGTGTCACGACGAAACACTAAGGGTCGATTATTTACATGAGGGCTAACCCAAACCACGGTTCTACACCATCCGTGAGCGGTCAGATCCCAAGCTTCTTCAAAACAAGCCTATGAGTAGCCTTAATCATGGCACTGCGTCAGAGGTCTCAGGGCGAGGTGTGTCGGCCGGGGGTCTGGCACTACAAATGGGGTTATCGAACCTCTCGTCGGCTCGCATTGCTCAAGGCCACATACTTTTCTGCTCGCGGAGAAATTGTTTGTGCTGGTGCAGAAGCGCTAATAATGATGGCCTACTCGGTGGCTACTTAACAGTATTGCCGTTTCCGAACAAAAAAATTATGTTTCGTAGCATTGCTTCAGAACATGTTGGCCCTTTCATGGATAGCTGATATCAGAAGCTTTCTTTTTGGTATCATTACATCAATTTCTAGACGGGAACAAATATTACGAAAAAATATGCTGTGTAACGTAAGCCCAGTCACGAACAGTTCAGTCTGTGAATGTTATCTCTGAAAAGTGAAGAAGGTGTGGGCGTCTTCTTCTCCATCGGTGTGGCCTGCCGCCTGTAATGAAATGCAACGGTAATCAAATTAAGCCCACACAGAAATGTCTCGTGTCACGCAAGTATGAATCGAACTCTCACTCGAGTGGAACTCTAGGAAGAAACTAAGCAAACTATAGGCCCTCGGGATGAGTTACTCGCCATAAGGGAATTAGCGTCGCGGGGATGGAGCACAGAAAAGTTGGGAAAATATTTGCAACTTGAAGTGGAAAATGACTTTCAATTGCGCCTGTTCGTCTGCTTTGTGTCTCTCGTGTTCCTGTCTGTTAGTCTGCCTTGAGTTTGGCCTGCGTACCTGTCTGGTAGGTTTTCTAGACTCTGACCTTTGCCTTTCAGTAGGACTGGGTAGAGTTTGTTGTATGTCTACGCCTGTGTCCGTCCACCTTGCATCGATCGCGTGTCTGTCTGTCTGTCTGTCTGTCGGTATGCTCAGTGTCTGGTGCGTGTTGGTCTGGCTTAAGTCTGTATGTCTGACTGACTGACTGACTGAAAAACTGTGTCTGTCTTTCAGCCCATCTAGAGTCTGTTGTACGTCTGGCTGCCGGTCTGTTTGTCCGCCTATTGTCTGTGGCATATCTTTCTGGCTGTCAGTCTGCCTGTCCGTCGGTCTGCCTCGAGTCTGCAGTCTTAATGTTCTTGTCTTCTTGCTATTTTCTCAACATACCTTACATCCAGCACTCTCCGCCATTGAAGTTATCTTTTTTAAGTACTCCCGCATTTGTTCCGGTTTTAAATCCAACATAAACCTATGAGCATACAGAAAGTACACCGTATTACTCCTAATACATTCACGTCACTCATAACTTGAAAACTTCAGATGTAACGCACTTACTTGGTTGTTTCAGTAATAATAACCGCTTCGTCAGAAAAAATCTCTTTCACATCGGGGGTCAGTAGGTGTACCATGCTGAAAGTAAAAATACTCGCAATGACTTATGGGATTATGCGTAACCAGACATGAAGGGGCATACTTTACTTACAAGAGCCGCGTCCCGGTTTCAGCACGTTGAAACTTCAAGGCTACAGTTTCAAATCTGTTATTAACAATCCACTTCAATGTTTTCCAATCCTAACATTCACACCCTTCCTTGGTTTATCATTGTGTATTTCATTTGTATTTCATCTCATGCCGGGCATTATCTTGAATTATTATATGGCTGTGTCTGACAAGGACTGGGAACTACCGAATTCGCAAATTTGATTGGCTGAAATAAATATTGAAAGCGGTCTAGATTTTCCCATCAAGACCGGCATCTAAACCGGTCTAGAAAAAAAAGGTACAAAGAAAGCAAAAAATTGGCATATAAGACACAGCCATATAATAAACATCTTATTAAGCGAGCTAGGTCGGTCTGTTTGGGAGAATCTTGA